CCAGTGTTTGTTTTCAGTTCTGATTTTAGTTAGATTTTTTTTTTCATGAAAACCCTATAGCTACACATTCAATGGCACTCTCAAACAGTGACTATACAGTTATATTAAAGTTACATGTAATTACATTATATGCAAATGCATTAAACCCATATAATATAATGTAGTAATATTATGACAAATATGGGAAATTCATTATAGTGTTATATATGGTCTCCACATCTTAAGTATATAGGGTATAGTGCATCTGACCCTTATCTAAATCTGTCCTTAATCAGAAGATATATATATATATATATATATATAATTAAATCCAAGTGCACAATAGGCTATATGACCACATGAACTTTAAGAATCATATAGGCCTACTTTTTTGTTTGTGGTTAGATAAATCGCTCAGAGGGGTTTGACCAAACTGTTAAACTAGGTTATTTACAAATAATCCAAGCACCCAATTCATTTCTAATATTTGATTATTATGACTTGGTAGTATTAAATTATAAAGAAATTACAGATCCATCTGAAATCTGATAGGTTGATAACATTTGACAACGTTTAAATTAGGTGCGAAAAGAATTAATATCTAGGGCATGAGCATAGAGAGATTTGCGAGTGCACAGGACAGTTTGAGTGAGAGGAGAGACCACAGACTGTATAAAAACAGGGACAGACACGTTTTAATGCCGGCTGTTCTGACTCACAGCCTGTATTCATATTTAAAGTTTTCATATTTAAAGTAGGGCTGGACGATATGGCCAAAATTGATATCACGATAACATGGTTTTATGTTTACGTAAATGCAGACATGGCAACGCGTAAAAAGACAGTATAAGTCATTATAATCAGTAATTATGTCCCCACTGGATGCAACAAATGCCTAGTTTGTAATGGGTTTGATTGGTTTTGTCTCGTAGCTCCGGGACACGGCATCACAGTATGGTAAGGGCCGTAACATTTCCGTCACACGCTTGAGGTATTCGGCCAATCACAACGCACTGGATAGCTGGCCAATCAGAGCACACCTCGCTTTTCAGACCGATGAGCTTTGTAAAAATCGACGCGTTTCAGAAAGGCGGGGCATAGAGGAGAAACAATAATGTACAGTATGTGGAAAATAATGTGTTTTTTGAACCTTAAACCGCATAAACACATTGCATTACACCAAATACACAAATGAATGTTCTTTTTTATCAACGTCGTATGACCCCTTTAAAGGAATAGTTCAACCAAAACTGCAGTTCTTTTTTTTTCATCATTTACTAAGTAGTTCCAAAACCTTTATTGTTCTTTCTTTTGTGAAACAAAAGGAGATGTTAAGCCAAAAAAAAAAAAAAAAAATGGATGGTGATTTGTACTGTCAAGGACTAAAAGCACCATGAAAGCAATCTGCCCACATTCTTCTTAAGAGCTCACTTTCTGTTTCACAGAAAAAGGAAAATAATGTAGGGTTAGAATGACATGAGGATGAGTAAATGATGACTATGTTTTCAGTTTTAGTGAATAGTTCCTTTAATTAAGTAGTATGAAGTGCATTGCATTTTATGAAATGAAAAAAGCCAAATGAAGTTTTACTCTCAAAGTGCAAGCACTAATGACCCTGTCTGTGATCTGATATGATAGAGCAATATATATAAAGGTACAGATACAGATAGATATTTAAATTAGTTTTTTAAGTGAAGCTCTTTGAACAGCATCTACATTTACATTTATTATTTTAGCAAACACTTTTATCCAAAGCGACCTACAAAGAAAGAACATCACAAGCAATGTATCCGAAGTCAATGCTTCATGAGACACACAGTGCCAAGTATAATATAAGTATAACATCAAATGCAGAAAAGTATAGAAAGAGAGAAGGATTATTTGACTTGTCCCTCAGTTTAATAAATAAATAAATTAAAAATGCACATTTACAGTAATGCACATAAACAATTTAAGTCAAGCAAGCCAGTGTTCTAAAGGGTTCAAAAGCAGAAATATAAAGTTTGTATTTTGTTAAAGCACTTAACATTAATTATTCATAAAGTGTTTACTGCAGTTTTTTGTTTGGTCAGTAAAGCAGTCTAAATTATACTTTTTGAGCTGGGATTAATTTTCTAAGTGGATGAACTTCTGGTTATGATTTACTGACATAATTCCTGCAGTGCAGTTTGCTTTATGCATCCTTATGCATATCAAGCTGAAGTTACACGGTATGACAAATTAAATATTTGGATACATTACTTTACACGGACACAACATCAGCAAGTGCTTCTGTCACACTAGTCTTACATTATGTCAAAACCTATAATGTTTAAATATAGTGGCTGTGCTTTTGAAACAGTGTTTCAAGTGTAGTATTTTACTTTACCCACCTTACTGTAATCCAGTTTTATTTTAGTATTATTTATATACTATTATTGTATTTTTTTGAAGTAGCATTTATTTTTCTTCAGTATTTAAATTTTAATAATTTTGTTATGTGATTGTGTCATTTTTATTATTTTTAATGTTTTTATTTAGCGCTTTATTTTAGTTTGAGAAATTTTAGTCTTTTATTCAATATTTATAATTTATTTCAGCTCTATTTCAATTTACAAAAATATTTTAATAATTTGAATTTTAGTTACAACACAACTGCAATCGTTATTTTTACCTTTAAAAAAATTAGGACCGATATTATTTTCTGCAGTAATCTACATGCTGTTGATAGAGCTTCATTTGTATTGAATACTGGAACACTGCTTTAATAGATTACCCTCATAGGTAAAAACGAAATTGCAGAATTATGTTTTTTCGTAACCAAACTTCATGAATATACCAAACCTGATGGGTATGTACTCCGCTCGTCGTACTTGTCTTTGAGGAACTGAGGGGTTGCTGTACATTCTGAAAGCACTACATGGGCAGAAATGGAGGGCAGTGAAGCTAGCTTCATGAACTGCAGATGTATGGAAGCTAAGCAGCAGCGAAATATAAAGCCACAGATCAGCACAGACCTACTGGCCACAGGCTCTGCTTTGTGTTTCTGCCGCACGGGAACAGAGGGGCTCTGAGTCGCTCCGGCGGCTCTAGGGATGTCCGGCCGTGAAGCCGACTGCGTTATGGTTCGGATGCTGTTGCCGATGCGGACGGGAGATTCGAAGTTGGTGACGCTACCGTTGCGGCGCTGAGGAGAGGCTGAGCGGGCGGACGACTCCATACTAGTAATGTCGCTCTCTTGTTCCGGCTTTTTATCGCTGCCCTCAGGTGCCTGCAGACGCGCTGTAAATCACACATTTACACACCCAAATGTCCAGCCAACTGGTGACAAGCTGATATTGGCTTATGACGTTATATATTGTGAGTAGGGGAGCGCTTGGCACAAAGTAACGCGGGGTAATTGTAACACATGTGGTTTAAATATTTCCACACATGCTAGCATAACCAAATTTACAGCATTTACTAGTTACCATATCAACATTATCTAGATAAAAAAAAGCGCACCAAAATTCAAAAGATTTTTTTGAAGATATCGCTGAACATTTATTTTACCATAGTAAAATTATATTTCTGGCTTAAGTAAATTTTTCATCATTTGAAATAAATAATTATTTTATTTTGTTGACAAAATATTTTAGTTTGTCTTGTATATTTTTTTCATGCGATCAAATACAATTTTAAGCTGTCATATGGTCATGTTACAAGTGCCCCTCAGCTGTTACAATGTACCCCACCTATGGGGCATGTTGTCACATTTCACTTCCAATTTTTGAGGGTAAATAAAGAAAAATGTATACACTGTAATTATGAAACAAAGCAACATATTTGTACTAGACAAGTGTGAAATTACTGTGGATAAAAAAATTATACTCTGAACCTTATACTTTGTGCCCCGCTCTCCCCTACATAACTTTGGCCGTTACTGCTCAGCAGGCTGAAATGGGCCCGAAACGTTAGTTTATAGACAAAGTACCTGCAGCTAACTGAAATACTTTCTTCTTGTCGTCTGTCCTCTCCTGCAACAGGAGATTTAATTAGCGTTATAAAATAAACTGCTGGAGAAATTAGATTATATGAAATCCAAAGACCTCATCCTGTTTCGCTCGGGTTCCTTATTGTAAATCACGGATCTGTTAAATGAACTGAAATACATCATGATGATATTCAGTTTCGAGTGCTTACGGTCTGCAGCTGCAGTCTCAGCTGGCTGTTGTTGACTTTGAGTGATCTAGCGATGGCCTGGAGGTAGTAGATCAGCATGCTGAAAGAGACAGCGACGAACAGCACAAGGTTGAGTAACTGAAGGCATGTGTCCTGCTTGCCTGGTCGAATTATGTTGGCTTGACAAAACCAACATGCTGATATTGTAGCCTACATACAGGGGTAAGGACTTTTTCTAACTCTCCAACCATAGGCCAAAAACTTGTAAATGTAAATCCTAAAGTTTTCAGTCTACATCCTCCAAACTCAGCAGCAATGAAGCTATGCTCTTCCATAATTGAATCAACCTGTGTTTTTCCTACAGCACACTATGCAAAACACCTACATTACCATATATCCCACTTATTGTTAAGGGGGGGTCAGTATTTTTAAAAACATTTTTTTATAGTTGTCAGCATGGACACATTCAACTGATCAAAAATGTCAGCAAGGTTTATTTACATTCTATTTGTCTAAAAAAAAAAAATAAAATAATAATAATATACTGTATATATAGTACTGTGCAAAAGTCTTAAGCCACTAATATTTTCACCAGCTAAAAAAATTGTTTAAAGTCAGTTGCACTCTTAAAAATAAATTGCTTCAGGATGCCATAGAATAACCTTTTTGTCTAAATGGTTCCAGAAAGAACCTTTAACATCTGAAGAACCTTTCTGTTTGACAAAAGGCTCTTTGTGGCGAAAGAAGGTTCTTCAGATTATAAAAAGTTAAGAAAGAGATGCTTCATTAAAGAACCATTGACTGAATGGCTCTTTGTGGAACCAAAAATGGTTCTTCTATGGCATCGCTCTGAAGAACCTTTTAAAGCACCTTTATTTTTAAGAGTGTATATTTATCTTTTGCTGTAGTGTAGGAAATATCAGCTTACATTTCCAAACATTCATTTTGCCATTGATTGTAATAATCCAGTGAGATCTTTGTTTGCACAACAGCCAGTGCTCCACACAGAGGTCTGATCTGATCATCATCAGTCTGTCTGGAATGACATGAAGAAACAGAACAAACTGAGACAAACTGGCAACGTCTCCAAGATGCTTCAAGAGACCTACCTGCAAATGAATGTTTGGAAATGTAAACTGATATTTTGTACTGACACACTACAGCAAAAGATAGAAATAACTGACTTTAAACCATTTTTAGCTGGTGAAAATACTAGTGGCCTAAGACTTTTGCACAGTACTGTATATAAAAATGATTTTTGAAGAATTATGTGACAGTGAAGACTGGATTGATGATGCTGAAAAATCAGCTTTGCGTCACAGGAATAAATGACATTTTAAAATATATTGCAGTAGAAGACAGTTATTTTAAATTCTAATAATATTTGACAATATTTCTCTTTTTACTCTATTTTTGATCAAATAAATGCAGCCTTGGTGAATAAAAGAGACTTTTGAGATCTCCTAAAACACCTTAGTAGCCATGCATAACCACACAGAACATTCTAAGAAGAAGCTAATCTTTCAGATAAAACTTTGTCAAGCGAACGTCTGTTTGTTGTTGGTAAGACTGCCTTTTCTAGCTTTTTTCTCAGTGGTAATTAAGGCCAGTGTAGAGAGAAGTAGGCCTACTTACAAGAGTAGCAGCAGAGCGGGCAGCACCACCACTGGACTGGTGACGTAACTCATCACTTTACTGAACCACAGCGGAAAGTCATTGGCAATGGTTTCGGAAATGATGTCGTAAATCTTCTCCTGGCCACTACAGAGCAGCAGAGGAAATGCGAAGAAATGCAGCTGCGTACTTTAATGCAAATTTTAAACAATTCTTATACTGCGCTAATATTTGATTCTGAATGGTGAATCATTTTGCAATGCAATATTTTTGTAGAAGTGATGCTAAACTGTATGAAGCAGGTAAATGATTTTCTACATATTGGTGCTGGTCACATCTTAAATTAATTTCAACTCAAATAAATTTTACGTGCATTTATTCATTTATTTTGAACATAGCTGTGTAGTTAGTAAGATAACCTACAGTTTACTAGGCATCATTGCAAAATAAACCTCTAGAGGGTGATACGAGTCTGATCACATGGATTTATTTTGCACATGATCAGTTGACTGTAAGCAATTGTTATTAATTGCTTTAGTATAACTGAGATACTATAGTATTAATTAATTATTTTTGTATTTTCAGTTTCAGTTATTTTAGTGCATAAAGTTAAACTAAATGAAAATGTAAAATGTTGCCTTGGCAAATAGCTGAAAAAAAAAAAACATGCATATTTTTTTCAGTTAACATTTATTTTATTTCAAATAATGACTTTTTTTTTTTTTAGGTTTTATGTTTTTTTTTTAT